CTTAAAGTGGCTGAGGTTGAGGGACCCTGCTCTGTAGCGTAGCTTTCTGTCTGACTGGGGAACAATCTCTTGGGGGCTTCTTCTGGACCCTAAGCCTGAGGATTTGTTTTTTGGCAGGGTAGCCCCCTCTGTAGGCCTCTGGACTCTGGCGCAAGAGGAAGACCCTTTGCTACCGTGCAGAATGCTTGGGTCACACCCCAAAGCACATCCTGTTCCTCTTGCAGTAGTTCAGGTCTAACTAATCTGCTTGGGGGCATGGCTGGACCCACGAGCTCTCATGTGGGGCAGGAACTTTGGGGCCCTTTCAATCTCTTGCTTTGAAGACCTTCCTCTGTGCCCTGAAGAGAAGAACGAGGTTGGGGCTGAGCATCGGCCCAGGACCTGCAGCTTCCCCCTCTCCCCTGGGTGAGGACAATGGCCTGAGTTCAGCCCCCAGACTAATATAGCAGGCCATTCTGCCATGCAGTATTGGGAACTCTGGGGAGACTATAAGAAGCCCACAGCGACCCAGAGCAGAGTTCACGCCCCTCCTTCTCTGTAACGTCAGCTTCATCTGCCCGTGCAGCGAAGGAGAAGGTTGGAAGAGATTTCTACCCTTCAGATGGTGGGTGAAGAGTTGCCAGGGTGAAGGCTGTCTTAATGGCTGGTGGTTGGCAAGTAGAAAACTAGCAGAGCAAGGAGACAGATGGGCCAGGGCTAGCTTCCAGGGAAAAGCTCTCAAAGCAGAGTTGGAAGGGTCGGGTCTGGCCCTTGGCAGACCAGGCGGGTGCAGAGTCAGCTCTTTTGCCACCAGCTAAAGCAGAAGTCAAAAGGGAAACGGCTCTTAGACCTGGAAGAACCCACCTGCTCTGGGCTCTCTTCCCCTCCCCGATTTGACTTTTATATCATGCCTGGCAGGTCAGCTTAAAAAGGCTGAACTACTGGGTGGCGGGGGACACTCACGTTCAAATGGGCCCAGTCGCAGAACTGAAGATCGAGGCTGCTGAGTTCCCTGTGTCACACCATCCGTTCCCCCCAACCCCCAATTTCGGCCTGCTTGACCGTTCCTGCTTTTGCTTTATAGCTTTCAATAATTAGCCTTGCTTGTCAATGCCCAGAGCGCAGCCAGGTCCTCTGAGTGCGGATGGATGTCCACCCGTGCCTCCTCGGAGGAGCTGAAAGCGGTGGGTTCCCGTGTGTGTCTTGTTTTGGGCAGTAGGGAAGTCATGGGGGCTTTTGCATCCGAATGGCAAGGCGGGACAGGGAAAGACCCAGGAGTTTTGAATGGAAGCCAACTCTCTCTGCACCTCTTTAGCTAAAGCATCCAGCTGTGGGAAGAAATTGGCAAAAGATGGATAAAAATGCCCAAAAGTGTTGGAGAAATTACTCAGATTTTAGGAACATGAAATAAAGGCCCAGCAGCCTCAGTCCGTTAAGGAACACCAGGTTGTAATCCCACAACCCCAGAAGACTAAGGTGTGATGTAAAGTTTGGCTTCTGAGGAAGGGGGCAGGTGAGTTGTTTCTTTTCCAGCAAGTTTTTAGCCTTTATGGCTGTGCAAAGAATAGAGAAGTTGTTCTGCATCATTTCCAAGCTTACACGTCTTACTGGGATACGTATACGAGCTGGTTCCCTTGTGGGGTCAACGGGGTTATGCACAGCACAGAAGGGGAGCTGGAAGCAGAAAGCCCCCATATCGAAGGCTGGAGACGAGGAAGGCGAAGGAAATGCAGCTACTGTGAATCTCATGTACACTCACCCTGTGCCCTCTGTCTCTCTTGGCTTACCAACCTTCCTCTCTAACCTTTTCCTTTTATTATCAGGATAGCTAAATTAAGCAAACTGGTAGAAGCGTCCTCATCTGCATAATTTAAATTAAGCTCGCTGAAAGATAAGGATGCTCTTGGCCCAGAATGTTTGATGGCGCAGAACCGTTGGGGCGCATGGAGGTAACAGAGAGTCTGCAGGGCCATGGTGGGGCTTAATCGCGGCTTCCCTTTTTTGCGTGATTTGAATTAAGATTGCAGAATGATACGTGCCAGGCTTGATCATTTGGGGCTGCAAGTAAAGGTTCTTGGGACTGCACGAGCCAAGTTGTTTCTGCCGGTAGAAAACAATTTCCATGTTGTAGGAAAGAAATAAAGTCTATAGCCTTTTTTTTTTTTTTTTTTACACGCACGTGTCTTTTTTGTTTGGGAGGTTATTTAATAAGCAAATCCTTACTGAGAATTTGATTATCAAGATTTTTCTGTTTCGCTCCTTTCTGGAGCAAAAATAGTGGAAAAATTTAGCAGTGACTGAAAGTCCTCAAAACTTGTAAGAGAACTAGATTTTGCTTAGTTATTTTAAAATGTAGTCTCCCTTCAGTTAAGCTCAGCTTCCTTGGATGCATTCAGGTAGTTTTCTCCACAGAAATGGTTTGTCGTGGATGTTCCCCACCCCCACTTCCAAGTCTGCTATAGTCCTGGGATCTCCTAGTGGTCTTCTATCCAAGAACTAATCAGCCCCCCACCCTGTTTAGCTGTTTCAAGACCAGCCAAAGTCAGCTTGGCGAGTATTTTACCATTTCTGCACAAACATCTTTGGAGGAAGCCAAAAAAACCTGTCCAAATTAAAACAGCTAATTCGCTACCATAAACGTTTGAAAACTTCATGTAGGACAGTGTTTGCTTGCCCCCCACCCCACCCCTGAAGATTAATTCCTAATTGGACTAAAGTGGGATACAATTGGGATTAATTCCTAATTGGAATAAACTGCTCTGCTCCCAATTAGTACAGCCTGATTTATAGATTTCACCTAATCTGGGGCTCCCCCCCCCAATTTTCAGTTTCCTGTTAAATGGCTTTTTTTCCCCCACCTAAATGTTTGTTCAGTGAGGCCCTTGCACAAAGTTTGGATGGGAATCCTGCTAGGATAAATGGGGCAGAATCTGCCCCATTTCCACCTTTTCGCAGTGAGATCCCCTTTCGATGTGTCGGACTACCGCTCCCAGCCACCACAGCGAATGGTGGGGGTCCTGGGGGTTGTACTCCAACATCTCCAGGGGTCACCAAAGAAGTGAAAATCCACGTTTGTCCCAGGATCTGTCAACCCACAGGACTGGGAAATCCTCTCCCAAAAACCAGCCCAACAACCTGTTTGAACAAAAAAACAATGGATATTTTAGTTCCTGACCAACAGGACTGGGAGCGATGGGTGGGGTGTGATAGTAAAACACAGGCACCATTCAAATGAACCTCCAAATCAACGTCTCGTACTTTAGTAATTCAAGCTCCGTGCCTCGCTTTTTGGAGACGAACCACGCTGGTCACTCTCCGGGGTGAATCTACTGCCATTGGCCGTCACTGCTAGGCACCCTCGTTTCCAAAGCATCACCCCCTCCACCTCCCCCCAGTCTTTCTATTTGTCTTCACAACCTTTTGGCTCATATGCTTGCAGGATGTTCAAGATGTTGGACGCTCTTTCACCTTTGTCGCCAGGAGGCGCTTCGCGGTCTTGGCCTTCTGCGCCCACCTGCTGGCTGCCAGGAAGGACTTCATCCTTTGAACTCTTGGGGAGGTAGGACTGCATGAGTTTTAGTATGCTCCACTCCTGATTTCCAGATGTTGGGGCTGCTACTCCCTCTTCCCTGTGGGAAACCACTTCCTCGCACTCCTTGGGGTCGTAGGCCTGCTGGATTTTTATGATGTCCACCACCTCCTGTTGACGGGAAGGTGAGACCTTTTCCTCCTTCATGACGACAGATGGTTCATCCCCGCAGTCTTTTGGATCAGAGGCTGTCTGGATTTCCTGTGCCTCCTGAATTTCCTCTATGCTCTTTTCTTTGACAGGGGATGGGGCTTTCTCTTCTTCCTTGTCCAAAGGTGGGACATTTTCATTCTTGTCTACAGGCAATTCATCACTCTCTTTGGGGTCCTCATTCTCCTGAGGTGTAAATATGTCGTCCCTGCTAGGAAGAGAGGGTTCCTCTTCTTTCTGAGCAGCAGGTGGGATCTCCTCGTTCTTCTCGACAGGAGGTGGGACTTCCTCTTGCTTCTTGACAGAAGGTTCTTCGTTACTAGAAATTTGGGGCACATAAACCTCTGGGATTTTCATTACTACCTGATTGGCTGGCTCTTTGATGGAGGGTGCCACCTCTTTTTCCTCCTTGATGGAAAGGGTGCCTTCATCACACTCTGTGGGTTCATAAGCCTTCTGGATTTTGAGGATGTCCCCCCTGGCATCTTCTCTTTCAGCAGCAGGTGGGACTTCCTTCTTGACAGAAGATGCTTCATTACCAGAAAGTTGAGGGATATAAGCCCCCAGGATTTTCATTATCCCCCAATCTGTTGCCTGTTTTTCTGAAGAAGCCATGTCCTCTTCCTCCTTTTTGGAAGGTGTGTCTTCATCGCAACC